CCGTAGAGTGAACTGTTCTCTATCGAGTTTGGTGATTTTTTTCGGATTTCGAGCGTTCAGTGCGGAGAAATAGTGCCGAATGTGGGGGCGGGTGACAGGTCGTACTGCGTAATTGACTTTCTTAGCTTCTATTTCCAAAATTGGCCTTTTTGATTACGTTTGTAATTTATATTCGCGTAAAATGAATTTTTCCTTAACGGAATTGGATATTTTTTTTCGTTTTCGAGCGTGCCTGTTCGAATAATATTGTCGAGAGTGTCCGCGGCTTTCATATCTTGTGCGTAATACATTTTTTTCGCTTCTATTTCTAAAATTTGGTTTTTGGATTTCGTTTTTTCGGTGTAACAACGTAGAGTAAGTTCAAGACATTATTCTGTTGAAATAAATAGACTCGTGCAACTGTAGAAAGATCTTGGACTCATGGAGTATTACCAATGTAGAGCTGTTAGATGCCAGGATTTATATCTTATTGCGAGAAACAGTTGTAGCAGTATTACAAATATGTAAGGTATGATAATATGTCTGTTGGATTCAAGATCAGCTATCCATATGCCCCACTAGATATAAATGTTTGGTGGTCAGATAAAGGTTCTTAAAAGGGAAATGCTTCAGGCTGATAAACGGAAATGAAATTAACTTTGGCAATGTTCTCTTTTAACGACAAGATATATAGAATACAGTGAGATTGGAAGGTATGTTGTATCCCTTATGTATGTAAATATTAATATCTGTGATCAAGGTGAATTATCTTTGCCAATGTTTTAAATTTCAGAATGGTGGAGCTGAGGTATACGAAGAAAGGAGAGATGTTTGAATGATGGCAGTGAGAAGAAGAAATGTATATTATGTCAAGAAACATAAAAGAAGCAGCATATGTATCGAGAGAGAAAGATTTGTGGCATCGACATGGAAATATGAAGATCATTGAAAAGATGGAGAATAAACAATTGGTAATAGTTTTGAAAGTTAAAGATAAATTGAATATAGAGAGTAAATATTCTATTAAAACTAAAACTTGTAGAAATATCTATACGCACTTGGAAACTATAAAAACTGCAGGAATAATTGGTTGTGGCACATGGAATTGATATGGGCCAATGAAGGCAACGTTGACAGGAGGTAAAAGGTACGTCTTTCCTGTTAATGATTATTAGAAAAAAGAACCATTTGGTTGACTGATTTGTAAATGATTAAAGATTTAGTACAAAATATTATTGACTAAGGATTTTTTTTATTACAGGAGACTTACAAACATGAGTAATATTTATATGCAAGAACCAGCCACTAATTGTAAGGGTACAGTAATAAGTGTTGGTTAATAATATTTCAATGGAATGCATATCTGTTTTTAAAAATTTAACTGATATACAATATTTACTTTCTAAATTTTTGTATTAATATATTAAGTAATTTCTAGTTTGAATTTTAATAACTTTGATTTTAAAAATATTTTACATTAATAAAATTAATATATTTGTTATAACAAGGTTACAATGAAATCAACTGTTGGTGATATTGAGTTAGAATTATGGGCAAAAGAAATTCCCATGGCATGTAAAAATTGTATACGATTATCTATGGAAGGTTATTACCATGACACTATATTTCATAGAATTATCCAAGGATTCATAGCATATGGTGGTGATCTCAAAGGTACAGGAGGAGGTAGTAAAAGCATATGTGGAGAACTGTAATGGAGAAATTTAAAGTGAGACTATATTTAAAAATAAAATGAATGCTTCTTTTCTTCAAAAATAATTATTAGATATTTGTGTTTTAGGACGAATTTCATACAAGATTACTTTTTTGTCGACGAGGTTCAATTGCTGTGGCAGAGATGATAATGATTCCCAATTCTACTTTACTCTTGGTTCTACATCAGAATTGCAGAATAAACATACAATGTTTGGTAAGGTTACTGGAGAAACTATATATAACATGCTTAAACTTACAGCACTTGTAGATGAGGTAAATTTAATGTTTATAAGAAAGTTTATAATGTTTTTGTAGAATGATATGCCACTTCATGCTCCAATAATGATAAAAGCTGAATTAATGAACAATCCATTATCTGATATTATACCAAGAATAATAGTACAGGAAAGTGAAGAAGTAAAGACAGTTCAAAAACTAAAACAGCAGGAGTTAAGTAAAAATCATGTATGTTTGTAGCATTTATTCACGATAGTATTATTCTCTGTAATGAAAAATTTTGTTACAGAAATTTCAATCTTTTATCATTTGGCGAAAAAGCAGAAGAAGATGAAGAAGAATCTGCGACATTAAATAAAAAGTTTTGTGGTAAGAGCAAATCAGCTCATGATCATTTAACTGATCCAAAATTAAGCTCATAACCAGCTGTTGAACCTCCTGGACCTCCAAATAAGAAAGGAAAGATGACCGTATTAGCGATTGGGAATTATTGGGGAATAATTGGGAAATTAACAAATTATGCAATTTCTGCGATTAATTTATGATCTTTTATAACTGTATCGTATAGCTGGCTCCTTGCACAACATTCTTATACAATTTTTGCACATAATTTGACACTAATTAGTTTGTTATTATTACTTACTTGACGACGGACGTGATTCGATAACATAGATCGGCGCGATGGTCCAACATAATAATTAATTATAAACAAAGTTCGAAGTAAAATAAGAACAAAAATGATATGAGAATGTTCATAAGGATATTGTTTTTATAATGTGCATATAATTTGTAAATTATTTGCATAGAAGATTGTAATTAATGAAAAACTAATAGTATTATCAGCATCAATTCGAACATTTTGAGTAATAATTACACATATACTATTATACGTAAATTATAATACTTATCGTTAGTAACAAATTATTAATGTTAATAACAAATTGTTCACAACGTAAATTTATAATAAAAATGAAAACATTAAGGAATTACTGGCTATTACTTGAACATGGAACGAATTTGTGTCAAAATGTAACTATAATTTGCAAAAAGTTTATAAATTATTACAGTGATTGTTTATAACAAATTAATATTGTTAATAACAAATTGCTCGCAACGTATATTCATAATAAAAGTGAAAAAATTAAAAAATTATTGCCTACTACT